AGAAGTCATTGTGACCAAAGATGATGCCATGCTCTTAAAAGGAAAAGGTGACAAGGCTCAAATTGAAAAACGTATCCAAGAAATCATTGAACAGTTAGATATCACAACTAGTGAATATGAAAAGGAAAAACTGAATGAACGTCTGGCAAAACTCTCAGATGGAGTAGCTGTGCTGAAGGTAAGATTCGTTGTTGTAAATGAGCTTCCTAGGTTCTGAGCTCAAGAATGATTTTGTTTCTGTGGTATTCCCCACTAGGGCCATGTAACTAAAATGTTTGGGGAAATAACTTCATCATGGAGATATATATTATACAAAATTTCTTTGTTGGAATATTCTTTCCTTAAAACCAAGATGTTTTGTTAAAGATCAGGCTGACGCTGCACTGATGTAGGACACTGTACTCACCCTATTAGCTGTTTAGTCATGCAGTCACTTTTAACAAGTAGGCAGCCTTTTTTACATGGTCTTTTTTTTTGGTGTTTTTTGTTTGTTTTTTAAGTAAACCCAGTGCAGAGCACGTAGGTGGCTCAGTTAAGCGTCTGACTCTTGGTTTCAGCTCAGATCATGATCTCACGGTTTGAGTTCAAGCCCCACATTCAGTTCCGTACTGACAGTGCAGAGCCCGCTTAGGACTCTCTCTGCCTCTTACTCTGCGCCTCTCCCACATGCCCTCTGAGTGTGTGTGTGTGTCTCTCTCTCTCTCGCTGTCTCTCACTCGCTCGCTCTCAAAAGTAAATTAAAAAATCCAGTGCTTTTTAATGACTCTTGCCAGCCAGCATCTTGAATCAGAGAAGCCCATACTAACTGGAATTCTTTTACTCTTAGGTTGGTGGCACAAGTGATGTTGAAGTGAATGAAAAAAAAGACAGAGTTACAGATGCCCTCAATGCTACCCGAGCTGCTGTTGAAGAAGGCATTGTTCTGGGAGGGGGTTGTGCCCTGCTTCGGTGCATTCCAGCCTTGGATTCAATAACTCCAGCTAATGAAGATCAAAAAATTGGTAAAACTGCCTTACAAATGAGTTTATTTGCAGCGTGATTTTAGTCTGCTATAATAATATTGTTGCCCATCAAATAGAACAATAAATCACAAAACAATTACCAGTATAACAAAGGAGGAATAACACTAATAATCGGAGGACAGATGAAAGATGAAATCACATCTCTTGGGGGGGAATGATTTGACCTGTGGAATTTCCCAGTTGGGTTTTCCCTGTATCAAATTGTGTTGTAATTTTTACAAAAAAATAATGAAACCAAATTTGCTAAAATTTGTTTTCTTTAGGTATAGAAATCATTAAGAGAACACTCAAAATTCCTGCAATGACCATTGCTAAGAATGCAGGTGTTGAAGGATCATTGATAGTTGAGAAAATTATGCAGAGTTCCTCAGAAGTTGGTTATGATGCTATGCTTGGAGATTTTGTGAATATGGTAGAAAAGGGAATCATTGATCCAACTAAGGTAAATGGTTGGCCATTTTCTAAAAATTCTTTCAAGAATCTTCTGTTAAGTCTTATTTTTTACTAAGGATAAAGGTAATATTTTATCAAATTTTTTCCTTAGGTTGTAAGAACTGCTTTATTGGATGCTGCTGGAGTGGCCTCTCTGTTAACTACAGCAGAAGTTGTAGTCACCGAAATTCCTAAGGAAGAGAAGGACCCTGGAATGGGTGGAATGGGAGGAATGGGAGGTGGTATGGCAGGTGGCATGTTCTAATTCCTAGAATAGCGCTTTACCATTGTTAATGAACTGTGAGAGGAAGCTCAAGGCAGTGCTCCTCAAGAATAACTTCAGAGAAGTCAGTTGAAGGAAATGACTGAAGAAAAGGCTGGCTGATGTTTAAGAAAATCACTATAACCATCAGTTACTGGTTTCAGTTGACAACATATAATGGTTTACTGCTGTCATTGTCCATGCCTACAGATAATTTATTTTGTATTTTTGAATAAAAAGACATTTGTACATTCCTGATAACTGAATGCAAGAGCCATGTACCAATGTACTGCTTTCAACTTAAATCACTGAGGCATTTTTACTATTATTCTGTTAAAATCAGGATTTTAGTGCTTGCCATCACCAGATGAAAAGAAGCAGCCTTTCTGTGGAGAGTAAGAATAATTGTGTACAAAGTAGAGAAATATCCAATTATGTGACAACCTTTGTGTAATAAAAATTTGTTTAAACTTAATTGTGTTAGCTTTTCCGTGACCTAGAAGATAAGAGAAATTGAAAGCCAATAGACAAAGAGGGGTAGGGGTAGGATTTGGTACAAGTGTGTAAAACATTTCTGCATGTAGTATATTTCCGTTTCTCTTTGCTACAATTATATTACTATGTAGATAATGAAATTTTAATATTTTTTATTTCTTTTTGAAAGGCAGAGAGGGAGACACAATCTGAAGTAGGCTCCAGGCTCTGAGCTGTCCACACACAGCTCCACTCCAGGCTCGAACCCATGAATGGTGAGGTCATGGACTGAGCCATTCAGGCACCCTATGGTAATGGAAATTTTTAAAGGTGACAACTGATTGCTGTGGACACTATTTTATGTGTTGAGGTCTGGTCATAAAGGGGCAATTTGTCATTTCTTGTGGAGGTTATAGTTACTGCTTCAAACCGTCAGCATAATAAATGGATTCCTGTTGGGTACCCACAAGTGAGGAGGGCAGGGTGTGTAGAAGGGTGTGCTTCAGTGGAAAGGGAGGTATGCCATTCGAGCATAATGGACAGTGAGGAAGGGCATCCTTGCTTGGTGGGGTCAGCCCAGTGTCTTCACTTTTATTTAAGAATGTAAAGCAGATTTTTGGCTCAATGCACTGGAAACAGTATGGAAATGTGTTTCCATACTGGAAACAGTATGGAAATGTGTGTGGTTTTTTTTTTTTTTTTAATGTTTGTTTTTCAGAGCGCGTGAGCAGGGGAGGGGCAGAAAGGGAGGCAGAATCCGAAGCAGGCTCTGTACTGTCAGTGCAAAACCCAGTGTGGGTCTCAAACCATTCAACTGTGAGATCATGACCTGAGCCAAAGTCAGACACTCAACCTACTGAGCCACCCAGGTACCATGAAATGTGGCCTATTTTTAAAATAGTACCTGGGTGTGGGGCATGTTGGGGGCAGGATGATTTGCAAGACGTAACTTTGCTTTCTAGATTTACTATATTATGAGTTGAAGGCAACAAAATCTTGCCTAACAACATCTAAGTTCCTGCCTTCACCTGTGCCAAGGACCTAGTCTGTCTTGGCTACAGAATGTAAATCTGCTCTAGATGGGAAGGATCTTGCCCGCCACTTGGTTTGGTCTTGGGGCTGCTGCTTAGAGACTGGTAGAAGCTAGGCATTGAGGCAGTGCTCTCCTTGTTGACAAAGCTTGGGCAGAAACAGGAATAATAAAGTCCATCACAGACCAAAAGCCAAAGTCACTTGAAATCTGCACCTAGGAATACCTGTGCTTTCCTTGGTTTAGAAAAAGAATGACCATAGATTAAAGGGGACTAAATAATGGGCATTTTAAGTGAATACAACTTGCCTAGAATGTAGTTTTAGCTACATAAGTAGCAAAAGGCAAACCAGTATCAAAAGAGAAACCTTAGAGAAAGGATTTAATATAGTTTATTATCTTTTTTTTTTTTAACGTTTTATTTATTTTTGAGACAGAAACACAGCATGAATGGGGGAGGGGCAGAGAGAGAGGGAGACACAGAATCAGAAGCAGGCTCCAGGCTCTGAGCCATCAGCCCAGAGCCCGACGTGGGGCTCGAACTCACGGACCGCGAGATTGTGACCTGAGCTGAAGTTGGACGCTTAACCGACTGAGCCACCCAGGCGCCCCAATATAGTTTATTATCTTAAAGGCCAAGCTCAGGGTGCCTGCGTAACTCAGTTAAGCGTTCGACTTCGGCTCAGGTCATGATCTCTCTGTTCGTGGGTTCGAGCCCCGTGTGGGGCTCTGTGCTGAAAGCATGGAGCCTGGAGTCTGCTTCAGATTCTGAGTCTCCTTCTCTGCCCTTCCCTTGCTCGTGTTGTCTCTCAAAAATAAGTAAACGTTAAAAAAATAATAAAAATTTTATAAGTGTTTTTAATGTTATTTTTGAGAGAGTGTGAGTAGGGGAGGGGCAGAGGGAGACACAGAATCCAAAGCAGGCTCCAGGCTCCGTGCTGTCAACGCAGAGCCTGACCCAGGGCTCGAACTCATGAACCATGAAATCACGACCTGAGCTGAAGTCTGATGCTTAACCGACTGAGCCACCCTGGTGCCCCCCAAAATAATTTAAAGGCCAAGCTAGGTGATGAGAAGGAAAGCTAAGAGGTGAGAAACACCTGGACTTTATCAACGTTTATTTATTTTTTGGGGGGACAGAGACAGAGCATGAACGGGGGAGGAGCAGAGAGAGAGGGAGACACAGAATCGGAAACAGCCTCCAGGCTCTGAGCCATTAGCCCAGAGCCTGACGCGGGGCTCGAACTCACGGACCGCGAGATCGTGACCTGGCTGAAGTCGGACACTTAACCAACTGCGCCACCCAGGCGCCCCTAGAAACACCTGGACTTTAAAAGATTATTGGGGGGTGCCTGCATGGTTCAGTTGGTAAAGTGGCTGACTTCGGCTCAGGTCATGGTCTTGCAGTTCACAAGTTCAGGCCCCACATCGGGCTCTGCACTGACTGCTCAGGAGCCTGCTTTGGATTCTGTGTCTCCCTCTCTTTTTGCCCACCCCCCCTGCCTACTCAGGCTCTGTTCTCTCAAAAAAATAATAAAAAAAATTTAAATTAAAAAAAAGATTATTAGAATGACCAGTCTAAAGAGAGCACAGGAGAGGAAGAAAATAGTGTTATGTGGTAGACCTTAGACTAAATGTAGTACTGCATTAACTCTAAACAGTCTTGGATTGGGGACTACTTATTAAACCTATGCTACATGTAATGTAAACAGGCTGTGAGAGCTTATACAAAGTCTTCAGCTATTAAGTGGCAGACCCCAGATTTAAACCAGGTTTGAAGAACTTAAACTCTTAAACCAAAGAGGCAGCCTGGAATGAACTCCTAAATGAGGATCAGGCAATTGTAAAACCCTCTGAAACCTGCAGCCAGAGAATCGATAGATTGGGAAATTACCTTTTCCCTCTGTTACTAACCTTACAGATTAGCAGGAAAGCATTTCTATTCCCTCTCTCCACCCCTATACTTCTCTGGGACAAGAAATAGAATCATACAGGAAAACAGAAAAGACTTACAGATTCTGCCATTTGAGAGTCCCCCAATGAAAATGCTGCCTCACCTGGTCACCTGACAGTGAAACTCATTAGTGTGCCCTACATTAATGCCAATAAGCTTTTTAGTATCTTGATTTCAAATATTAATGGACAAACATGAACCATTAGACAATCAAGCCTCAGCATGAAGGAGAATAGCAAAAACCATAAGGGACCTAAGGGAAACTTAAAAAATTGTAATATGTTGGGGCGCCTGGGTGGCGCAGTCGGTTAAGCGTCCGACTTCAGCCAGGTTACGATCTCGCGGTCCGTGAGTTCGAGCCCCGCGTCGGGCTCTGGGCTGATGGCTCGGAGCCTGGAGCCAGCCTGTTTCTGATTCTGTGTCTCCCTCTCTCTCTGCCCCTACCCCATTCATGCTCTGTCTCTCTCTGTCCCAAAAATAAATAAAAAACGTTGAAAAAAAAATTTAAAAAAAAAATTGTAATATGTTAAAGAGATCTTGTTGCCATAAACCATGGCTCGGTTCAGCATCTTCACTTCAGCTCAGGTCATGATCCCGTGGTCCATGAGTTCGAGCCCCACATTAGGCTCTCTGATGTCAGCTCAGAGCTCATTTTGGAACCTGCCTCCTGCTTTCTGTCCCTCCCCCACCTGCACATTCTCTCTCTCTCTCTCTCAAAAATAAGCATTAAAAAAATGAACAATTAGAAAACATTCATGGAGGAGCGCCTGGGTGGCTCAGTCAGTCAAGCATCCAACTCTTGGTTTTGGCTCAGGCCATGATCTCACGGGCGTGAGATTGACTGCAATGTTGGGCTCCATGCTGAGCATAGAGTCTACTTGGGATTCTGTCTCTCTTTCCCCTCTCCCCTGCTGGTGCTCTCTCTCGCTCTTGCTGTCTTAAAACTTTTAAAAATAGGGGCACGTGGGTGCCTTAGTTGGCTAAGTGTCTGACTTGGTTTCAGTTCGAGCGCCACATCAGGCTATGTGCCGGCAGCGCGGAGCCTGCTTGGGATTCTGTCTCCCTCTCTGCCCCTCCCGTGCTTCCTCTTTGTCTCTCAAAAATAAAAACAAAACTTTTAAATAAATTTAAAAAAAATTCTTGGAAATTAAAACTGTGGCAAATGTAAAATTAACAAAGGCCTGGGAGACAGAATTGAGGAACTCTAAGAGGCAGATCAAAAACATGGAAAATCGGAAAAACAAAGATTTAATACAAGGGGCACCTGGCTGGCTCAGTAGAGCACGTGACTCTAAATCTTGGGGTTGTTAACCATGTTGGGTGTGGAGATTACTTAAAAATAAAATATTTTTTATTTGTTAGGGGTTTACTTTCTTAATCTGAGAGGGAGAGAATCCCAAGCAAGTTCCGTACTGTCAGTAGAGAGCCCCGTGTGGGACATGATCTTACGAACCATGAGATCATGCCCAGAGCTGAAATCAAGAGTTGGACGTTTAACCGAGTCACCCAGGTGCCCCCCAAACAATTTTTTTTTTTAAGTTTTTTGAGAGAGAGGGTGTGCACGTGTGGGGGAGAAGGGCAGAGGGAGTGAGAATCCCTAGCAGGCTCCATGCTCAGTGTGGAGCCTGACTCAGGGCTCAAACTCAAACCGTGAGATCATGACCTGAGCCCAAATCAAGAGTCAGATGTTTAACTGACTGGACTTAATACAAGAGATAGAATGTCTAATTGTTCAGGAATACCTGAATGATAGAACCAGAGAATATGGGGAGGAAATGATCAAATGATTCAAAGAAATTCCTCAGAATTGAAATAGAGTCTGACTGAAGGGCTCTCAAGGGGCCCAGCACAATTAGGGCCAGGCAACAGGACAGCATGCAGTTTCAGACTACCCAGGATAGAGTAGATTTTAAAAGCTCCCAGAGGGCACCTGGATATCTCAATCAACAGACTTTGGCTCAGGTCATGATCTTGCAGTTCATGAGTTCAAGACCTGCGTCAGGCTCTGTGCTGACAGCTCAGAGCCTGGAACCTGCTTTGGATTCTGTCTCCTCTCTCTGTCCCTCCCCCATTCACGCTTTCTCTCTCTCTCTCTCTCTCTCTCAAAAATAAACATTACAAAAAATTATAAATAAAAGCTTTCAGAATCCAAAAAAATGGATGCTATACAAAGAAACGGGAATAAAAGTGGCATAAGACTTCTCAAGAATAAATAGCACTGGATGCCAGAATACAATGAAGTCAGATCATCAAACGGGATGGAGGGAGAGGATATTATCCCTAATGTGAATATAAAATGACATAATCAGACACAAGGATTCTAAAAATTTAGCCCCACTTGCCTTAGGAAACCACTAAAGGGCTTATTTCCTCAGCATTTGGAAGGTAAATTAAAAATATGAGGCCAAGACTCAGGACATAGAGAGCCCCTAAAAAGAGGGGGAAGGAAAACCCTAGATTGACTGCATGGGAGCCCTAGGATTACAGCTGCACAACAGACTAGAGAGCAGCCAGTTCAGACTGGAGGATAAAAGTGGCTGCAAGTAACTGAACGACTGAACTTTAAGTGGTTTGGACACATTAGAGGCCTGTTTTCCCACAGAACCAGGACAAAGTTGACAACTACACGGTTGGTTCACTTAGCACTTGATGTTAGAGTTACAATATGCCTTCTCTGGAATTACTGCCTCTGAAAAGGTAGCAGGTGTAGCTGCAAACTTCATGTCCTCACCATCAGGCAAAAACCAAGGAAGAGACATTTCTCTTCCAACTTGCTTTCCACAGATAAAAAACCTTATCTAGCAGTGCTCTCCCATCAGTCTTCCCCTATGAATCCAATGACCAGATGTCACTTCAAGTTTATTGGGGGTGGGGGCGCTGAGTGGCTCAGGTCATGATCTCAGGGTTCATGAGTTTGAGCTCCACCTCAGGCTCTGATGTCAGCACAAAGCCAGTTTCAGATCCCGTCTCCCTCTCTCTGCCCCTCCCCTGCTCACAATCTCTTTCTCAAAACTAAACGTTAAAAAAAGAAGGAAGAAGAGAGAGAAAAAGAAGAAAGAAAAAAAAAGTTTATAGGGGCATCTGGGTGGCTGTCAGTTAAGCACCCAACTCTTGATTTTGGCTCAGGTCATGATCTCATGGTTTGTGGGTTTGAGCCCCGCATTGGGCTCTGTGCTAATAGTACTGAGCCTGCTTGGGACTCTCTGTTCCCTAATTCAATAAACTTAAGGGGGAAAAAAAAGGGGTGCCTGGGCGGCTCAAACAGCCAATTTCAGCTCAGGTCATGATCTCACAGCTCGTGAGTTTGAGCCCCACATCAGGCTGTGTCAAAGCAAAGCCCCCTTCAGATCCTCTGTCATCCCCTCTGCCCCTCCTTGGCTCATGCTCACCCTCTTTCAAAAATAAACATACATTAAAAAAAGAAATTAAAAAAAATTAATAAAGGCATTTTTTTCTCTTCCCATACGGAGAGCATTGATAACAAACTTAAGTGCATATGTTATGGCCTCTGGAGTGTTGTACTAGGTAAAGCAAACACAAGAGCATAGATACTGGAGCCAGAACGCCTGGATATGTTGTATCCTGTCTCTACCACTTACTGCAATCTGGGTTCTGACCATACTTGGGAAACCTCATGGTTTATGTGGATGGCTAGATCAAGGCATTTGTGTGTTCTTGGGCTCCCTGACCAAAATACCATCCACATACTCTCATAATACCAGCTCAGTTAGATCCCAACCACTAACTTAGATTCTGAACCTGGGAGTTTATCTATGGTATTTATTTATTTTTTATTTTTATGGTATTTATAAGGGTAGTGGTAAAGTACAGATTTTTATTTCCATCAAAAGAAAAGTAATATGTACAGGGACAAAAAAATATCTGGATGCTATCTGCCATTTAAAAACATTTTATTTAAAAGGTAATTATATACAAGCTGCAGATACTCTGGAAAGATACTGCTTTACCAGTGTGAAGCCACAACCAGTTCCATGTGAGTAGACTGTAGGAGTACCTCACTACTGTATAACCAGCACCTGGCACACAGCAGGCACTCCAAAACAGATTTACTGAAAAAAACTGATGCAAATGTGCTTTTAGGTAGCGAACGAATTATTGAGGTCCCCTGTTGATCCGAAGAAACAAAGTACTCTGGTTGGAAAGGTAATGCAAGGGGGTTGTTAGGTGTGGAGTGAAAGGATGGAAGAAGATCAACAATGGTTAAAGGAAGACTGAATTTTGCCCAGATTTGTTTCATAAAATGCCACAATTAAACTTTACTAGGTCTATGTGAAATACATATTGAAATAACACAGGAGGATTTCAATAACCAGAATAACTGTACAAAAAATAAACAAATTAACTTTATTAAGTTACTACTTCACTCCTTAGACATTAATTTGTTTACAAAAATATGTTTGAAATACATTATTGAAAGTGAATACACACAATAAATAGAAAATAGGGATGCATGGTGCTGGAGATATATCAACCAACTTATCTTCATGTGTTGCCCACTGTTGTAGACAAAACCGGACACATAATCAGCATTACTGAAAGCAGTCAAAGTACCTGGGAGAGGGCTGCAAACTACAAGAAAAGTAGCCTAAAGATCTGGACCACTCACCAAAAACAAATTCACTGTTTAATCTGGGAGTTAATCTCACTATTGATAGCACTGAATTACCTACTACCCATAAGAATAATTTAAAAATAAGAAAAGTGCCAAGGAACCTTCATTAACAGTATTTTTAAGTCTAAGTTTCTATTTTAAATATCTGATGATTACTCGAATATCCTAAGCCAAGAGGCAGGCCCTATGACAATAAGTTATAAATAGTCTGAATTTAATAACTTAAAGGTGATAATGGTTAACATAATGCATACCGTGTGAGTATCTTAACTAACCACTTTCAGGTAAGGTCATAATTAAAAGGTTTAAGTTTACAGTTTCAATTTCTGGTTAAAAGTGATGACATCCTACTATTGTAAATATGCTAATAAACACATTACTTTGAATTACACTTGATTGAATTCTGTGTACACGTGGTTCCATATTCCAAGTGCAAATTCTCAACGGTGTAGGTTTATAATCAAAGCTGGGTTTAACAAATGCTTTCTAACTTCTGAAAGCAAATGATAAAAGCACTTCCTAAAAGTGAATAAAGTTATAAACAGGTGACCAGTTCTTTTTTCCCTTTACGTGTGATGAACTTCATGAAGCATTAATTCCCGA